TAGGTATTAAACCCAGGCCTCACACTTTGGTTTTGGTGGTAGTTCTGGGAATCAGATGCAAGGGCCTCTCCCTTGTTAAGCATGTGTTCTACCACTGAGCTACACACTCAGCCCAAAAAGAAAATTCTTGATTATGATCTTTACCTAAATTTGTTCTTCTTACTCTTATTTTCAAGGCAATTAATTGGACTTTACACCATGGCTCACAATCCTAATATGACCCATTTGAAGATTAATCAGCCAGTTACTGCCCTTCCTCCCCTTTGGATAAGATGTGACAGTTCAGATCCTGAAAGTACCTGTTGGCTAGGAGCTGAGCTCATCACAACAAATGACAGTATTACAGGAATTGTCTTGTATGTGGTTAGTTGTAAAGGTGAGTGCTCATTCTTTGTATTTATTTGTATAATTTTTGTTTTGTGGTTTTTACTGAATATTTATATTAAAAGGGAAGTGTACACAGTGGGACTTTAGTTGATTACATGAAGTTACTCCACTGTATAACTTGAAGGAAGGATTCTGGAAAAACCAGAAAGTCTGGACAGGAGGTTATGCCTGTTTTGTTTGGGTTTCATTTGATTCGCATGTGTATTTTTTTGCAAATTTTCCTTAGAGTGTAAATAACTGAATATAATAACAATATAATTCCAGACTCATAGTAAACATTTAATGATTTTTTTAATTTATTTTTGAAACATGGTCTTACTAAGTTGCTTAGGGTCTCAGCCTCCTGAGTTGCTGGGATTCCAGTCCTGTACCACCACACCTAGCTTTAATTACATTTTTGATGGTGATATTGACCTTTGTTTCACTTTTATTTTTAAATAAACATTTCACTCACGGTGATTTAAAATATAATATCAACAATTATTAGTATTATGGCATCCTCACAATTTAAGAAATTATGATTTTCTAACTCTAACAATATAATTTTGAGTGGTACCTTTAATTTTTTCTTTCGTATCCTGTAGCTGATAAAAATTATTCTGTAAGTCTGGAAAACCTAAAAAATTCACACAAGAAAAGACATCACTTGTCTACTGTAAGTATTTCTCTCTTATTTTTTTTTCAAAATGTTATCGACCTGCCCTCCTAGTTTTAAACATTTTTTTTCAAGATGTGAATATAGATCAGTGGTAGAATGCTTGCCTTCCGTGTGCAAGGCCAGTACCTCCTCTCCCCAAAAGAGTTTTTTTTTTTTTTTTTTTAAGAGAGAGAGAATTTTTTAATATTTACTTTTTAGTTTTTGGCGGATGCAACATCTTTATTTGTTTGTGGTGCTAAGGATAGAACCCGGGCCGCATGCATGCCAGGCGAGTGCCCTACCGCTTGAGCCACATCCCCAGCCCTGAGTTTTTTTTTTTTTCATTTCTGATCCCCAGTACCTCCTTTCCCCAAAAGAGATTTTTTTTCACTTCTGAAATTTATCAAGTTTATTTTCATATTATCAGCAGCTAAGATACAGTCATTCTTTGGTATCAATGGGGATAGGTTCTAAGACCTTCCTCAGATACCAAAATCTCAGTTGCTCAAGTCCCTTATATAAAATGGTGTAGTATTTCCATATAACTGATGCATATCCTCCTTTGTGCATAAAATCATCTCTAGATTACTTTTAATAGCAAATRCGTGTAAATGCTTTGTAAACAGTTGCTAAATTTTATTTTCAGAGAATAATGACAAGAAAAAGTCTGTACATATTCAATACAGATGTAGTTTTTAAAGTGATATGTTTTTGCTCCATGGTTGGTGCAGAACCCGTGGATACAGAGGGCTGACTATATGTGACTTCTTGCCTTTAAGCTAATGTTTGTCACTTAAAAAGAACTCTTATTTTTCCATTTGGAATGAAAGTCAGAGTAAGGTGCTTTTTTTCTTTTGGGACAAGAATCAAAGTAGTTTTGCAAAAAATGGGCTTTTGGGGCATTTGAAAACATAGTGCTAAGGGTCTGCTGGATGCACTCTTTTCAGGTAACAGCCAGAGGCTTTGCCCAGTATGAGCTCTTTAAGTCCACTGTTTTGGATGATATAGTCACCCCATCACAAACTACAATCACTTTGGATATTTCCTGGAGTCCTGTCGATGAGATTCTTCAAATTCCCCCACTCTCTTCAACTGCAGTTCTGGTAGGAATGGACCCATTTTTCTGCTTGGGTTTATAAGACCCCTAAATGGTTGTTTACTTGCTCATTGCTGGGGCTGCATGCTTTCATTTCTAACAGTCACTGGGTATAAGGCTGGACAACTCTGAACGTCTTGCCTTGCTCCTGGAGTCTCACCAGGGCATCCAGGGGAGGTTTTGCCAAGTGAGCTGAGCCATCAGTTGCTCACAATTCCACAATTAGAAATTTAAGAATTTTCTAGTGCTAGGTTTTTGGCTCGGTGGTAGAGTACTTGCCTCAATTGTGTGTGAGGCACTGGGATCAATTCTCAGCATCACATATAAATAAATGAATAAAATAAAAGTCCATCAACAACTAAAAAAATTGAAATTAAATTAAAACAGAATTTTCTAGTGATTAATGAAGTCTGTTATGTGGAGACTTAAAATGATTTATGGTTTCCTGTGTTCTTAAGAATGCAGATATTGCTGGGTGCCGTGGTGCAGCAGCTCAGGAGGCTGAGACAGGAGAATCTTGAGTTCAAAGCCAGCCTCAACAAAAGCAAGGTGCTAAGCAACTCAGTGAGAGTTGCTAAATAAAATACAAAATAGGGCTGGGGATGTGGCTTAGTGGTTGAATGCCCCTGAGTTCAATCCCTGGTACCAAAAAAAAAAAAAAATCATGTAGAAGATATTCAGTCTTGGACACAGTTCTTTCTAAAATATTAAAAACAAAACCTGAATGTTCAATAGGGAAGTAGTTAAAATAGATATCCATGGTGACATATTATCCAGGCTTTAAAAAGTCATGTTTCAAAATGTCCTAATAGAAAATGCTTATATACAAAATAATATATACAGTATGATTTCAACTATGTTTAAAAAAAGGCATGCACAGAAACCTGGATAGTGTTAACAGTGGTTCCTTCAGCATGGTAGGATTTTGGATAATTACATTCTTTGTGCTTTTCCTGTAGTAGGGATTTACATATATTGGCCTTTTTAAAAAAATTATAAGGTCTTAAATTTGTAAAACTTTAACCTCTGACTAGGACAGTGCTCTGTTGGCTTAGTTAGAAGGAGTCTATAAAACTATTGGATTTTTATTTTTGGTGTGTGATAATGCTAAGTTATYATTGAGTCTTTAGATACATTGACTGAAATTTCTCTACCTTGTCCTCTTGATGCTAAAGATTAATAAGTGTGTGTTTGAAGCAGGACAGCAGTGCATGTGAAAAGGGCAATTGTTCCATGCAAGTACAGTTGTTTATGGTATGTAGAGAGGGTATACAATTCCCTGAGCTTAGGTTACTGTATCAAGATGGCAGAGTCTGGGTAAAATGTTGTAAATGAAGTGTTGATCTAATTTTTCAATTCATTGATGCTTTATAAAATGTATTTTTAAATGTGTGGTTGGTTTGAAATGCAAGTTACTCTCTTATGCAGCTATTGCCCATTAAAACTGACAGATTTGGGGTTCTTTTTAGAATATTAAAGTGGAATCAGGAGAGCCCAGAGGTTGTTTGAATCATCTTCACAGAGAACTGAAATTTGTCCTTGTGAGTATCCTTCTGAAATTCTTAACTTTCATTAAATTGCATGTTTTCATAAAACAAGTTTGCTAATATCACTTACGTGGTAATTGTCCTTACAGTTTTAAAGGGGAGCATCAGTAACTACAAATCTTTCCATTTTCTACTGGAGTGTTTCCTTTTTATTTATATGAGGGTCCCCCCTTTCCAAGTGGGCCAATTGCCAGTTTATTCCAAATGGCCTGCTATTCATAACTGGAATTTTGATTGATGCTAAAGATTAATGTGTGTTTGAAGAATTTTATATTTTAGTAATTTTAGCTCTTCTCTACAAATTGAATCTTAGGAGCATGTCTCATTTTAATACAGTAGAAATTCCATATAGCCTGGCATACAAAGCCAGGTATGATCCAGCTGCTGTCCTGCTCATTTMTTTTCATTTATTTTTGAAAATAGTTTTATTGAAACATAAATTATATTCYATAAAATTCGCTCATTTTAACTGTGCATTTCAGTGGTTTTTAGTATATTTACCCAAGTTGTACACATCAACAATTAATTTTAAAACATTTTCATTACCCCTTCATGAAATCTGGTGCCCACAATACCCATTAGCATTCACTTCCCACCTCCATCAGCCTGTGGCAGTCACTATCTACTTTCTGTTTGGTCCTTTATAGTGCTAAGTAGCATTCCATTGTGTAGATACACCACATCTTGTTTATCCAATCGTCAGCTGATGGTCATTGTAGTTGTTTCTACTTTTTGCCTATCATGAATAATGCTGCTGTGAACATTCATATGCAAGTTTTTGTGWAGACATGTTTACATATTTCATAGATGGAGTTGTTAGGTCTATGGTAACTATTTTGAACCTCTGAARGGACTGTCACACTGTTACTTTTTTCCAAAGTGGTTGTAGCATTTTACATTCTTACCAGCATTGTAGGAAGGTTCCAGTTTCTTTGTATCCTTGCCAACACTTGATATTGTCAAATTTAAAAAATAATAGCCATTCTAGTAGGAACAAACTAGTATCTTGTAATTTTGATTTGCATTTCTAATGACTTTGAACATATTTTCATGTGCTGTTGGCTTTTCTTTACTAATTGGAATTACATAATTGAGTGACTATGAGCAAGTTATTTAACTTTAGCTTAGCCTCGCCTCAATGAAATGAGAGTAATAGTAATATCTACMTCATTTTAAAAAAATTTTTATTAGTTATTGATGAACCTTTCTTTCTTTATTTATTTGTTTATGTGTGGTGCTGAGAATCGAACCCAGTGCCTCACACATGGTAGGCAAGCAGTCTACCATATACTTTCACAGTGCAATTGAGTTTAAACACTCAAGAAATGTCACTGCAATTAATAGTAYTAAATACATCCTTATTTATTAAGCTATATTTTCTACTAACAAGCTTCTGGGCTTTTTAAAATCTCCCATAGGTTTTGGCTGATGGTTTGAAGACTGGTGTGACTGAATGGCTCGAGCCCCTGGAAGCAAAATCTGCTATTGAACTTGTGCAGGAATTTCTGAATGGTGTTTRTTTTCCTAATTCATTCTTATTGCAGGGACTGGGGTATTGAGGATTGAATCCAGGGTGCTCTACCACTGAGCTATACCCTCGGCCCTTTTTATTTTTTATTTTTTGAGACATCTTGCTAAATTGYCCCCATGAAACTCCTAATTCACTCTTGTTTTTCTTAAATARGAATTTACACTTGGTATATTTAAATGTAAATTCTCTCTTTAACCTTGATATGCTTTTTGGTTGGAATTTCTTAGAGCCAGGAGGTCTGACATGGTTGGAGGGACAAGTTTTATTCCAAAGTGCTAATGTTAAAGACCTAAGTAATTCTAAAAAAAAAAAAAAAAAAAAAAACTAATAAGATTTAGTTTGAAATTTATATAACACAAACATATTTGAGATCATAGGAAAAGAAGGATGAAATAGTAACCC